ATATAAATATTGTATTTTTACAAATACAAATATTATTTTTTTTATAAAAAAAAAATTTATTTGAATACAAATGTTTTTTTTTTAAATACAAAAAATAATTTTTATGAATATTTTTTATTTTAATACAAATGTTTTTAAAAAATACAAATATTTTTTTTATTTCTGATTTAATTATTTTTATTTAGTTTACATTTTTAATCTTGAAATAAAAATGAAATAATGAGTCAAGATGATGTTAAAAATCACGTTTGTTGATGCCTGTACATACTCATTTTTGAAAATTGAAAGTAAAATCAAATACTGAATATACAGCACATACTAATAGCGAGTGGTTTGAACATTATTTTTTAATCCTAAAAGAAATGCCAATTGGCATTTCGGAAATTTGGCAATTCAAGGAATTAATAAGTCAAGAAAATGTATGATGTTGCTTCTGGTCGATACAACACTCTGGAAAGATATAGGAAAATAATAAATATGGAAGATGGCATAGTAGTATGTTACATTGACATCACGTGACCTCTTTTCGTTGTATGTCTATTTAGTGTTAGTTTTGCACATAATTTTTTATGTGCAAAACTTCTTGCATTTTTCTTGCATTTTTAATCCTGAAAGGACCAAATGAAATGAATTTGTCTCTGGTTTGCCACTTGATTTGGAAATGTAAAGTTAAATTGAGCGCATTGCATTATGGGAAATAGTATCCTGGTTGCACGGCTTGTAGAATTCCCATTTATAAAATGCAGTATGTCGTCTAGGTCGGTGCAAATACTGCGGATAAAGTTAAAGTTAAATTAAGACAAGACTGTAACCAAAACTAACCAGTCTTAACAATTACAGAAGAAGAAAGCAAGCCGTTCCGGCTCTCTGGACTTTACTGTACCTTGCTCACAGCAGAGATGATCTCCACTTTCCGATGGACGCACGATATGGAGTCCACGAACACAGACTGGAATATGATGCAGTGCGCGCGGCGAGCGAAGTCGGGAATCTGGGAGAGTTCGTACAGGAATCTGAGCGGGAAGAAGAAAGAGGTTTTACAGGAACGCTTCAGATGTTTGTGCAGCATGTGAGAGTTCATCAGAACAAACCAGAAGCACCTTCAGCTTCACCAGGCTTTATCAGCGCAAACACGCGGTGCAACGCATTTATTATAATAATAATAATAATGTGTTTATTTAGAGTTGTAAAGTCTGATGTTGTGTTACTGATGTCTGGTGCTCTGCAAAAACATATTTTTCCAAGTTAAGCAAAGAATAAAACTTTAAAGATTATCGAAGTATGATTTTAGTATCATTAATATACTACTATAGTTTAGTTCATACTTTGAATTAGATTTTATTTTTATATTTTCTGCTTTCATGATAAATTTAGATAAAGTTTTAGTCATTTTCCCGTGCTTTTGTCATTTTTATTAGTTTTTGTTGTTTTTAGTCATTTTTATTTCAGTTTTAATTTAAGTGCATCAAATCAAACTGAATTCAAATGAGAAATGCTGCTGTGGAAACTAGCTGAAATAAAATAATAGTTAATAATAAAATATAAAATAATAAAAATGCATGTATAATAAAAAGATGTATGTATAATAAAAATAATATTATTATATTAATAAAATAATAAATAAAAAATAATAAAATTATTTAAAAAAATTATTTCAGTTAACATTTATTTATAATTAAATATATATATATTTTTTACGGTTTTAATTTTAGTTAACTACAATAGTCCTTTTTGCAAGAAAATATTATTTAAGTTTTTCTACTTTAAATTTCACGTCTAACTCAACTTGTTACTTGCTGTTTCTCTGTAATTATTTGTGAAATTTATTAGCGATTTCGGAGTGAAAATAGCTTTAAAGTAAATCTTATGAGCACATTGTGTGAAAGTTACCAGGTTTATCGGCTTCATGAGGCTCTTAAATCTCATATTAACTCATATAATGTTTAAATCTTGTGTCAAAACCTTTGTTTTTATGAACTGATGGTTTGAAGTCAAAACGGTTTCATGTGCTAATCGACAGAACGACACAGACAGAGTTTAACCCGTGTTTAATCTTCTATAACTAGTTGTAGAGAACATGATTTCTGCATCATACACTTGTTTCTGACGCATTTTGATCTGCTGATTTCAAAAATAGTGTCAGTTTTGCTCTTTCACGTCACACTTTCTCACAAAATATGATGCATTTTGTATCATTTTTGCTTTTTTTAATCATTCGTGCGCTGGAGTGTATGCGCGTGAATGACGTACTGTTCAGGTTTATCCAGGAGCTTCACCTCGTCTTCTTTAGACGTCTCGTAATGTTTCCTGATCTTCTCCAGTTCCTCAGGCTGCGCTCTCTGTCAACATTCACAACAAAACCATTCGAAGTGAACCATAAAACACAGCCCCTGCACGATTATAATGTCAAAGACACCTGCACAAAAACATCCGTCAGTTTCCATTGTATTTTTTCCACACTATAGAAGTCAATGGTTTCCCAACATTCTTCAAAACATGTTCAACAGAAGAAAGAAACGCAACAAATGATAACAGAATTTTCATTTTCGGGTAAACTATCCGTTTAAGACTAACTACTTGACTAGTCATTCAGATAACTAGCTGACTAGTCTGTTGTAAGCAAGCAGTTTTAGTACATGCCTAATGCAACGATATATAAAGGCATAAAATAAAACATATACAATTATATACACGACCAGTCAAATGTTTTTGAACAGTGAGATTTTTAATGTGTTTTAAAGAAGGCTCTTCTGCTCACCTGCATTTATTTGATCAAAATTACAGCAAAATCAGTAAAATTGTGAAATATTTTTACTATTTAAAATATCTGCTTTCTATGTGAATCTCTGTTAAACTGTACTTTATTTCTGTGATCAAAGCTGTATTTTCAGCATCATTACTCCAGTCTTCAGTGTCACATGATCTTCAGAAATCATTCTAATATGCTGATTTGCTGAATCAGAAATCTTTTGTAACATTCTAAATGTCTTTATCATCACTTTTGATCAATTTAAAGCATCCTAGCTAAATAAAAGTTTTAATTTCTATAATTTCTTTCCCAAAAAAAAAAACAAGAAAAAAATATTCTACTGACTCCAAGCTTTTGAATTGTATAGTGTATAATGTTACAAAAGCTTTTTATTTCAGATAAATGCTGATCTTTGGATCTTTCTATTCATCAAAGAATCCTGAAAAAATGTATTCAGCTGTTTTCAACATAATAATAATCAGAAATGTTTCTTGAGCAGCAAATCAGCATATTAGAATGATTTCTGAAGATCATGTGACACTGAAGACTGGAGTAATGATGCTGAAAATACAGCTGCGCATCACAGAAATACATTACAGTTTAACACATATTCACATAGAAAACAGATATTTCAAATAGTAAAAATATTTCACAATTTTACTGCTTTTACTGTATTTCTGATCAAAGAAATGCAGGCTTTGTGAGCAGAAGAGGCTTCTTTAAAAAACATTAAAAATCTCACTGTTCAGAAATGTTTGACTGCTCGTGTATATAATGTACACAAATCCTCGATTAAATCCTCAGATCATGATTAGAGCACTCACTATTAAACACGTTTAATGAAATAATAAAAGCGGGTTTATTGGCAAACAGCTGGTGCTGTTAAAACACCGACTGTAGAAAATAAAGCAAGAACGCGGCTCAGAACGAGAATAAGAATCAGGGTTAATCTGGCGACTCACGTTCTCATATAAAGCTTCGACGGTCTCCAGATCCACCACAGAATGATCCACCGTCAGAACAGCTGTAACATACAGCACAGAACAAACAGCATCCGTCCGTTTAACCGCAAGAAAACACACTCCAGGATTTTCAGTTCACATCACATCATGTGTTTTCTGTTTGAAACGCTTCTTTCTGTTTGTCTCCAGTTTGTATTTTCTCCCAGAAAACACACATTTACACCTCTGGCTGGCTGCTTTAACTTAGCCACTGACCAACTAGTCTTACTCTTCAGATTCGAATTAGAAGTGAGTTAAATAAGAAACTTAGAGACTAGTCTAAGCAGTTTATGCAAGCAGCAGATCTCTTAGGGTCTCTGGTTATATTAATGTATTGTTATATTTATGCTACTAAGATTAAAGGTAGATTTATTTTAATTTATTTATTGATCAAAAATATTTTTGAGAAAACAAAACATATACGCATATTTTATAAATTGCTCCTTTCAACTCAAAAGTGTCTTTTGTCTTTAATTTGAACACTTAAATATTTCTTAACCCTCATCACTTTTGACTGAAAGATTTAGAAATATTAAAAATCATAGCTTCATCGGAATGAGGACTTTTGTGGCATTAGCTTTGTGAACACACACAAAAAAAAATCATGGACATGATTGGGATGTTAAAGAGACATATATAACCTAAATGCTGTCTCTTACTGAAATATGTAGTAGAAAGATTTATTTATTTTAAAAATCCACATAGTTTTATAGATATTTTGGACTTTGGGGGGCGCCATTATTTGAGATACTGGCGAAAGATAAAAAAGTAACACTTGGTACCATCGCGCGGTCAAAAATGAGTGTGGAAAAAAAATTGCTCATAGAAATTGCATAAATATTGCATAGTATCATAAAATCCCCTCAAAATTGTAAATAATAATCCAAAAATATTATTGAACAAAAATGTATTACAATGATTTTCCTGAAAAAAAAAAAATCAGGTCGGTTGCTAGGGTGTTCGGGGTGGTTGCTAAGGTGTTGCTATGCAGTTGCTAAAGTACAGAGTTTGGTTGCTAGGGTGTTGCTATGCGGTTGCTAGGATAATCTGGGTAGTTGCTAAGGTGTTGCTATGCGGTTGCTAGGGTACTTGGGGCCGTTTCTAAGGTGTTGCTACGGTACTTGGGGTGGTTGCTAGGATGTTACTATGTGGTTTCTAGGCTAAGTGGTTGCTAGGGTGTTGCTATGTTGTTGCTAGGTTGGTTTGACTAGTTGCTAGAGTGTTGCTATAAAGTTAGACAGACAGACAGACAGATAGATAGATAGATAGATATATAGATCTGATCTCACCCTGCTGAATGTCCTTCATCTCCAGATGGAGGCTGGATATTAATATTCCCACGGCCTGAGAGCGTTTCCCATCCAGCAGCTTGATGATCTACGAGAAGAAACTCACAATTAAACATCTCAATATCACATCAAAATACCAATAATGATTATTAGAACACTGTGAAGTAAATCTCATTTAATAATGTGCTTCATGAGGTAACATGTAAGTTTAATTAAGTTCTTAGTTCTATTTTTGAAAGTAATTAATAGTTTTATTCATCAAGGATGCATTAAACTGATCAGAAGTGACAGCAAAGGCATTTATAATGTTTTAAAAAAAAGATTTCTATTTCAAATAAATGCTGTTCTTCTGAACTTTCTATTCATCTGTGAATCCTGAAAAATAAAATGTATCACAGTTTCCACAAAAATATTGTGCAGCACAACTGTTTTCAACATTGATAATAATCAGAAATGTTTCTCGAGCAGCAAATCAGCATATTAGAATGATTTCTGAAGATCATGTGACACTGAAGACTGGAGTAATGATGCTGAAAATACAGCTGCGCATCACAGAAATACATTACAGTTTAACAGATATTCACATAGAAAATAGATATTTTAAATCATAATAATTTTTCACAATTTTACAGTATTTTTGATCAAATAAATACAGCCTTGTTGAGCAGAAAATACTTCTTTCAGAAACATTAAAAAATCATACTAACCCCAAACTTTTAAACAGTAGTTTAAATATTGAAATATAAAATATGATACATTAAAATACATACATTTAAAATATACATCATCACTACTGAAGTCCTGTCAAAAGTCGATTCAATTCAACAATCGGTCCTCATTCTTTCACATAATTTCCCATTAGTCTCCAGTGTACCTGAATGACGGTGTTTCTGTAAACCAGCGTAATAAATCTCAAGCATTGTGTTTTTGTCACGTCCCATCAGTGGAAACATCTCGCCGCGGTTCTGTCACAATTAGGAGCTCGCTGTGAGACGAAGAAAACCAGCAGAAAGTGGCTCCATAAAAGGCCATCGTTGAGCTCTGGACGAGCGCAGAGGAGATTTTATAACAAACTATAAATTCACAGGATTTTTATTTGTACCTACACATGGTCACAATTACTAATGACTGAATTCCCTCATAAAGGCCACAAGAGTTTTGGCACGCTAAAGAGCCTCTCTAAAACTTAATGTCTCGCTCTTCTTCATTAGGATTAACGCGGCGTTGAGCTGCTGCGGCGTTCAGTGGGAACCAGCGCGACGGCTCTTAGATGAGAGTATTGCATTACAGCAGGTGAAGAGAGCGTTCATTATTCAAAAGAGAGAGAGAGAGAGAGAGAGAGAGAGAACCGCTTCTGTTTTAGAGCCAGTGTTTTGGAAAGGAAACTGGAGTCAGTATGAAGCCTACTAAATGCATTTAACAGCTCAACATTAATAATCACGTCAGGTTTTTAAAGCACAGCGAGCAGCCGCTGCAGTAAACATCATTATTACATTGTTCCATGAGGTGAAGATCATGAATTTTGGAATTTCAAACACAAAATACCTTGATCTACAGTCGGCCATCAAACGCTTCCCAGAATAGATGCCAATAAACACACAGCGTTAGAGACTTAAAGCTAGAAACAATTAAAATGTCAGTTCGTTTAAGAATCATCATTACTGTTCAAGCTGCATCTTAATAATGATTCATCTGACCGTGTGATGTTTACATACTTCACAGAGCTAGAGAGACGTCAAGACACGAGAGACACACCAGAAGACACAGCAGACAGGACAGAAAAAAAAGATTAAATAAATAAATAAAATAGAATGTTAAAAGATGAGAGACACACTAGAACATGCAACAGGCAGGACAGAAAAAAAGATTTAAAAATAAAATAAAATAAAATAAAATGTTAAAGGATGAGAGATACACCAGAACATGCAACAGGCAGGACAGAAAAAAATATTAAAAATAAAATAAAATAATAAAATAAAATAAAATAAAATGTTAAAGGATGAGAGACATGCCAATATAAAAAAATTACTTCTCAAATTATAATAGTTTTCTTATTTTATTTCTTAAATATATAATATGTAAGGAATAATGCACGGCTAGCTGTGCATTAAATGATTTTAATGCACGACGTGGAGGCCAAGAACCACCCGACGCAAAGCCTCCGTGGAGCGCATTAAAATGGTTTAATTCACAGCAAGCCGTGCATTATCCCACTTATATCATGGTCATTTGCCAGCATTGATAAGTTAAAGCTGTTAATGATGTTTGCATTGCAATATTTGACCGGAGGGGTGAAAATTACGGTTATTTTCGTCAATTATGGTTCGTTAGCTCTAGCATTCTGCCCGCTTCAGATCAGACACAGAGATAAAATATTGCAGCAAGATCACATTTATTTGAACGAATTATCGATCGATTAATCGATCAAAAGAGAGAGAGAGAGAGAGAGAGAGAGAACCGCTTCTGTTTTAGAGCCAGTGTTTTGGAAAGGAAACTGGAGTCAGTATGAAGCCTACTAAATGCATTTAACAGCTCAACATTAATAATCACGTCAGGTTTTTAAAGCACAGCGAGCAGCCGCTGCAGTAAACATCATTATTACATTGTTCCATGAGGTGAAGATCATGAATTTTGGAATTTCAAACACAAAATACCTTGATCTACAGTCGGCCATCAAACGCTTCCCAGAATAGATGCCAATAAACACACAGCGTTAGAGACTTAAAGCTAGAAACAATTAAAATGTCAGTTCGTTTAAGAATCATCATTACTGTTCAAGCTGCATCTTAATAATGATTCATCTGACCGTGTGATGTTTACATACTTCACAGAGCTAGAGAGACGTCAAGACACGAGAGACACACCAGAAGACACAGCAGACAGGACAGAAAAAAAAGATTAAATAAATAAATAAAATAGAATGTTAAAAGATGAGAGACACACTAGAACATGCAACAGGCAGGACAGAAAAAAAGATTTAAAAATAAAATAAAATAAAATAAAATGTTAAAGGATGAGAGACATGCCAGAACATGCAACAGGCAGGACAGAAAAAAAGATTAAAAATAAAATAAAATAATAAAATAAAATAAAATAAAATAAAATGTTAAAGGATGAGAGACATGCCAGAACATGCAACAGGCAGGACAGAAAAAAAGATTTTAAAAAAATAAAATAAAATAATAAAATAAATAAAAATAAAAATGTTAAAGGATGAGAGACATGCCAGAACATGCAACAGGCAGGACAGAAAAAAAGATTTTAAAAAAATAAAATAAAATAATAAAATAAATAAAAATAAAAATGTTAAAGGATGAGAGACATGCCAGAACATGCAACAGGCAGGACAGAAAAAAAAGATTAAAAATAAAATAAAATAAAATGTTAAAAGATGAGAGACACACCAGAACATGCAACAGACAGGACAGAAAAAAAGATTAAAAATAAAATAAAATAAAATAAAATGTTAAAGGATGAGAGATACACCAGAACACGCAACAGGCAGGACAGAAAAAAAAGATAAAAAATATAATAAAATAAAATAAAAATAAATAAAAGAATAAAAGAAAAGAAAAGAAAATGTTAAAGGATGAGAGACACACCAGAACACGCAGGAGACAGGACAGAAAAAAATGTTATTATTATTCTGAAGTCTTATATGCTCAGATATTGGGACACATGTTCTTCTGAAGCCACCTGTTAGTCATTAGAGCTCGTCCAGTGACAGAGGCTCCGCCCCTCATGTTTGATATGATAATCAGGAGCGAGGAAAGGCACCGGGGGTCCATGCAGTGGATGCTTCCCAACACATGACACAAATTAGCTGCGGTGTTTGACCTCCGCTGATTCCCACTGATTGTGTTTTCAGGAGAGCTGCGCTGCTGATAGACGCCTTTCCACACACCATTTCTGTATTATCTACATGTGTCTGACACAAACACACACAAGCACTTCATTTCCATAATACGTGCACAGATCAAAACACACATTTTCCCAAACACTCACAGATTTCCTCGCCTCTCCCAACAGACTCGGACCCGGAGGATAAAATAAAGAACTAAAAATACATTTATCATTTATATTTATAAAAATAATTGATAAATATACATTTATTAAAAATTATATATTTTTTTAAATAAATAATAAATATAAATAAATATTTTATAAATACATACTTTTAAAATAAATAATATAAATAAAATATAAATAATATTTTAGTAAATAATCATTGATTTCAGCTAAATCACACAGAAATGCAGCAAGAGAGACTATACACAGAACTTCATGAATCATAATTAATTCAAAATATATTTGAAAATAAAAATTAATTAATTAATAATTAATATTAATAATTGCATATATTATTATTATTAGTTTTAAAATGATATTTTAATTTAGATATTTAAAAATGTAATTTAATTTTTATATTTTCTCTTTTTAATTTCATTCTGCTTTCTTTTTTTTTTAATTCTTTTTTTTATTAGTTTAAAATATGTCTATATTTCTTAAATGTTACTTAATTTATTTGATTATTACGATATTCCACAAATTATTGTGTATATATATATATATATAGATGTATACATGTCAGTTTCCAAAAATTGACCCTTATGACTGGTTTTGTGGTCCAGGGTCACATATTTTACACATAAATATCTGTATGTAAAAATACATGTGTATATTTAAGAAATTAATTTAAATTGATTTTAAATGTTTTATGTATATATGCATATAAGTTATTTCCATATAAGTTAAGATTGAAATTCACTTTCATGTCTGAAAAACCATGCCAGACTTGTATTAATCAGCTTTTTCTGATCATTAATGCTCACAGAGGCCTCGTTACTCGTGTGAACTGAAACACGGCTGCGCTGTCATCACTCTGAGCGATCAGACGAGACGCCTCGTGTGAGACAGCAGCTCGATCGATCTCGTCTCTATTGCTCTGTCAGGACATCGACTCCAGTCGCTCTGGTTTTCTCAGAAGGTAAACACACACATAAATGACGGATCTGAAAATGTGTCGCTTGTGTTTAGCTGTTCTTTCAGACGTTACATCGTCCTGCCAAGACCATAGAGCTCCAGCATCTATTCATCACTTCACAGTCACTAAAGGAGATATTAAAACTTAAAAGAAATTAATATAAATAATGTAATAGAAAAAAATAACTATATGTATAATAAATATAAATAAATATTTAAAAAAAAAACTATTTATAAATAAATAAAATAGAAATAATATTTTTGTGATTTCACCTAAAAATGCTAAAAAAAAACGCTGGTTACGCACTCAGAAAAAATATTAATCCTGATTCCTTCCAAATAAATTAAAAAATAAAAATAAATCATGTTCATGTTAACAGCAGTGTTACTTTAGTATCACTGAGAAACTATTATAGTTTCAATTAATTTTTATTTTTTTATTTTCTGTTTTCATTTTAATTTTAATAGAAGTTTTACTAATTTTGTTTTGTGTTTTTGTCATTTTTATTCATTTTAAAATATGTCTATATAGTTTTTAAATATTTCGTTTATATAGTTTTTATTTTATAAATAAAATAAAATAAAATAATGTCAACAAATTAAAAATATAAATAATAAATAAATAATAATTTAAAAATAAAAGTGTGTGCTGTGATCGGTTAGCTAGGCCAGTGTGTGCTGTGATCGGTTAGCTGGGCCAGTGTGTGTTGTGATCGGTT